TGGGGATTTTGTGTTTTATTTATTATTGCTGCTATTGCCATTTTTGTCGAAAGAGGAAGCATCTTCCTCAAAGTAATGCTTGTTTCATTCTGAAAAGTAAAAACATAATTAGGAAAAATCCCCAGGAATTAGCTAAAAATGTTCTAAAGGAACAGCAAAGTAGGCTACTAATTAAGTGAAAATTGAGGTCAGTTCGAAATGGGGTTCTTACAATCAGAGGAAAAACAGAGGCAGTGCAAAATTTTTATATCACATCCAATGAATGTTATGTTTCAGTGTTCAGGGCAGGGGAAGGAGCAGTATCCAATTCTTTGGGGAACTTATTCTTTGGGCTTTAGTGTGGTTGCTGAAAGTGCTGGGACCATGCAGCATCTCTGTCAATCCATCTTCCTGTCCTCTCTTCGTAAACCAAATTCCTCCAGTTTCAGATAAATCCAGAGAAGGACAGAAGTTTCAGATTAACTCTTCCAAAATGGGATAAAAATCAGTGCCAGAGCAGAGAAAGGCTATCAAGCAAACACATTCAGGAAGAGAAAGGAAGAAGCTTTCTTCTTTACCTTTTGCTCCAAAATCAGTGCCATGTTTGGGGTGGCACAGATCTCAGGCGGTGAGAGTTTGCAGCCTGGGGCTGGGAATCATTCTAGGGAAGCAACTCTGTTTCATCTGTTGCTATAGGAGAGGCTGCCTGTATTAAATATTTGTGCTGCTTTATTTGCACATGCACACAGGTTATCTGGAGAGTACAGGGGATTTGGTGAGCACCAGAGGCAAGAAAACCATGTTTGTGTACCTTCCGACTGCGCTGCCGGGTGGAGCCTCTGATATGAAATAAAGGCTGAGTTCATGCTGTGTTCTCTTCCTTAGCCAGGGCACCGAAGGTCTATCCTCTCATCAGATGTGGATGTTTATGAAGTGTGTAAGGATATACTATTTTGTGTGAGCCACCTTCTCTCAGTTTGGTTATAACTGGCTTTAAAACTGGTTAAAACTGACTTAAAATCCACTCTTGTGCATTAGGGCAGGGGATCACATGAATACACAGATACATGCAACCTCTGGCTGCATCGTCTTGTTTCATAAGGAAGTGGAGTTATCTTTAGGAAATAAGAATTAATGTATGCTTCTCACAGGACGATAAACATCTGACTGTGCACAGTAGGCAAAGTCACCTCTTGCATACAACCGTGATGGCAACACCAGCTGCAGTGTCAAATGTGAGGGGAAGGTACTTTTGTTTCTTTGTTGGTTTGCTTGTTTTGTATCTCTCCAAAACCCCCTACCTTGCTTGGAATAGAGACTTGCTCTTTGATTGCTGATAAAATTAAAGGAGCTGTGTGTGAGTGGAGGAACACATTGACTGCAATATAGCTTCACAGAGTGGTTTTACATCCTAGGAGTCCAACATCTTTCTGTGCCATATTCTGCACGTTTTATCATCATAATTAATATTCCTGTCTGCCATGTTTCATGCCTTTGGTTCAAAGTGGTGGAAAGTGCCAGCATGTTCTAGAAATAAAAGAGGGAGGTGAAAAACCTCTCCAGATACTGCAATCCACCTGCCTCTTAGAACCAAGTGTATTTCATATAACAGATGCTGCTGAACACAAAGTTTCCATTGTCTATGCCTGACTGTGTTCATGTGATATCTCTGCAAAGCAAGCAGGGGCATCACTGCTTTGCTGGAATTGGAATATTAATGTAATTGGACTCTTGCAAAGTCATTTAATTTGTTGTGCTAATAGTCTGACTTCATCCAATAACATGAAGACCAAACACCTATTGTTCAAGCCAGGCACACAATCCACTTGTTATGAAGAGATTTTATCTATATAGGCAGAAGAATTAGGAAATAGCAAGATAAAGGGTTAAGTCAACAGGGAAACAATATAAAAATTTCTCCAAGATATTCACTTGTTTAATGGAAAATCCCAAAGACAAAGGAGTTACAGTTTTTCTGAGATAGGAAGACAGAGTCTCAGTGATGTGGGGAGGCTGTGGACTTTTCTAGGAGCTCCAGGAAATGAGGGAAACTCCTGAATGCTGAGGATGTTCCTAGGAGACAAATTGCTTCTCTTTCACAGTAAGCATAGTAAGGGTCATGGCAGGGAAAATGACCCTGCTAGGAAAATCCCACTGTGGATAAATGAAGGCATTGAAACACCAGGAAGAAGGAGCGGGCTGGCTTCCAAGAAATGGCTTTGGAGGAAGAAGAAAGTCATTTTGTACACCTGACAAAGGAGTTTGTTCAGAAGCAGAACTGTCCTTGTTCTTGGTCCTGTGTCCTTCTGGTTTCCTATTGCCCTTCTTTCCTTGGAATGGCTCCCCTTGGGTGAGCAGCTCAGGAGCCCATGGAAGGAGCAGATAAAATGTGGCTGTGCACCAGTTCCTTTGCCCAAACCGATGGTTTTGGACAGCAAACAATCGCCTTTGCATTATGGAAACTCTTTGTGAAAAACCTCTGTTCTAGTTTGATCGTGACACTTTTATGTAAAGGTGTATCTTCCCTGTGAGCTTTGCCTGTCTTGCCATAACAGCACCCATGGGAGCCCTGTGCTGGATGATGTTCCTAGAGACTCAAATCATTCCCATGTTTTAACTGCAGAATCTCAGCATTAGAGACAGAGGGGAGAGGCCTGTAGCCCCTGTGTGTGCTGTTAAGGCACACATGCCCAGAAAAGCAGGCTGCTGCTGGCCTCTGGGCAGCTCCCTGGTGCCACGTCCCTTCCTGCAAGAGTGCATTCCCCCCGGAGAAAACATCCTTCAACCCAAAGCCACTGTGGGCAGGGGTGCAGAGTGGGTGACAAGGGATTGCTGGGGCATCACTCCCTGCTGCTGCTGGGCTCAGCACCTTGGTCAGACTGACCATCCCCGCCCTGCTGTCCCTTCACAGGGGGCTCCTGGCTGCCTGCTGCTGGAGGCATGGCTGCTCTGCCTCTGCTTGCCCTCTCATCTTGGGGAGTGCCTGACATTCCCTTGATCGATGGATCAAGTGGTCCATGGAATAAGAGTTGGTCCTAGCCTCAGGATGTCAGTCCATCTCTGCTGTCACTCCCTGCTTTCCACAGGCTTGTATTGTATTCCCTTGAAAGAGGCTTTCTGGGAAAACACTGCAATTCCCACACATCATGCTGCCACAGTTTAGGGCACGATCTGCAATTGTAAGTGTGTTCAAAATCTGTGTACTGCAGAGAGTCTTGCCTTCAGGACTGGCACTTTGACATCTAATTTCCTTCCAGAGAGAAGTCTAGGGAAATGGTTTTTGTTAGAGACAGGCTTCTTGGAAAAATGCTGATGAAGTGAAACATAAACATATTGTGTTAGAATTTTCATGGGAAAATATTGCTGAAGGGTTTCAGCATGTCTGGAATTTTCTCAGTACTGACCCTCTTACTCCATTTTGTATTCATATACTGTGCAGCTATAACATTCCAAATGAAACATTTTAACTTCAGCCGATTAAAAATTAAGGTCAAAATGGAATGTGTATAAAGCCTCTCCATTTTCAACTTTATTCACAAGCTGGGAAAACACTGTATTTTGCAACCTCAGTATTTCCTACTGGCAGCAGCTCAAATGTGTGACCACTGCTAGAATTTCTGTTTCTCTTTCCAAATGAAATGTATTTACTTCCTCCTCCCTATTGTTACTAATGAATCAAACAGCTTTGTGATAACATGCTGGTGGAATGAAGCACTGATAAAAGAGCCAGAACATAACATTTATGTGGTTTCCAAGAAGGAAACTAGTGGAATTTTACTATCATAAAAATGTAGAAAATCTTGGAAGAAACTGCAGGCACTAAACCCAGAAATATGAATTAACATACTTGAAACAGTCTAGATGATGCGTGGAAAAATCACCCCTTAAATTCATACCTCTAAAATCATTGTTGCATAGTGCATGGTTTTGAATCGATACAGCTTGTGATGATTAATAGAAACTGTCCTCAGCTGATTAAAATCCTCAAGTTTTTTGATTTAATCTTTATAATAACGGAATGGAGAATTAAACCCAGTTTGTAATTGTCTTGCAAGAGGGGCATGGTAAGAACAGCATTTCAACTCCTCTCCAAGTTCTCAAGCAATGTATGGACTTAAAAGAAATCTATTTTAAATGCAAGCCCCTGGATTGAAAGGATACTTTCTGTGGAGGAATTTTTTCTGTGGTTTATGGTCAGAATCTTTAGCAGCCCAATATGGATCTCGTGCTAAGCAGACACACACCTCCTTTTTCTTCACTTGTGGATATTGGCTGGTGAACTGATCCATATGTGTGCATACATGTATGGACACACACACACACATATGGTGGATTGCTGCAATATGATGCTGCTTATATCCATGTGTGTGTGTCTATAAATTTAAAATAATACATAATAGTGTACATAGTTGCTGGAGTATTGCACATTCCAGAAGGCTGAGATTGTTCTTATCTCCTCTGAAGGGTGTTATTAGAACTTGGAAACCAACACCCATTCTCTGGGCCTTTACATCCCTGGTGGCTGGCACTAGGCTTGCAGGGAGGTCAGGGAAAACTTGGCTCCAAACCCAGATGTGATCTCCGTGCCAAAGGAAAGCTCAGGTGCAGCCTGGGCATGCAGGGTGGGTGGAAAAGGATGTGTGCTTCGTAAAAGTTGTTACTAATCAACTCCCTTAAACAGATAGGATTGTCATCAAGATAACTGGCAGTGCAGGGATATTTTAATAGTTTACAAAATGCCAAAAATCCCCCTGGCTTTCCCCCAGTGGTTGTGGTTAGATTATGAGTGAGGTTTTTGACATTATTTACCCAGAAGAGGGAAAGATTACATAATAGGGCTGGCAAGCCTATAAAAGTGTCCTCACTTGGCACAGACAGGAACCAGGTTAGACTTTTTCAAAGGCAGTTGAAGCCTGTAGCTGCTCAGAAAAAAAATAAGTCAGAAGAAGAGAGACCTTCTCTAGGAGATAGACACTACTATTACTTTGCATAGAACTGTTTCTCATGTTTTCTTTTGATAGTATTCCCAGCTGGACAGAAAGCACTTGAATCTGCTTGGATCATGCAGAAGAGAAAGCATTCCTGGGCAGCCTTTGTGGGAGGAGGCAACAAGAAGGGGGAGAAAATGGCTGGGGAAAATGCAAGAATACTGCCCAAGGCCACACAGGAGGAGAGAAAGAAGCAGGAGGCAAAAAGGAAAGGGAAATTGAAAACCTTGGCAGGCAAATTGCTGAAGACTGTGGTTGGTGGGAAGGAAACAGTGGAGAAGGCTGGTGCTGAGGATGTGGCAGGGAATTTGCTGAAGAGGCCAAGCAGTAGGAAAGGAGTGGAGAGAGGGACGCCTGCAGGTAACCTTGAAGTTATCTCTGGGTCCAGGCCTGGATCTTCTTTGCCCCTCCCATCCTGCAGGCTCTTGTTTTTCATCAGCTTCTGGATTAGGTGCTTTCCACTCTCCTCCTCCCCATCCTTCACCTGAATTCTTGTCCCTTCTGAACTCTACACTTGCTACTCTGGGCAGTTTTGTATTTCACTTTTTATTTGTTTCACAAATGTTTCTCTTTACTGTTCTTATTTTTATCTCTGCAAAGACTCCTGATGTGTCTTGTGAGAATGATGATGTATGTGTGGCTGACACCCCAACCATGTGACTGTGCTGTTCCTCCACAGATGGGAGGGGAAGGTGGGTTGCACACAGCCTGGCTGTGCCAATTAAACGTTTCCCATGTGTTGCATGTATCAAGGCAGGATGGGTGCAGCTTGTAGGCCCCTCCTGAATAACTTGCCAATTGTTTTACTGAACATCCTTGCATCAACCCTTCTCCATTTCATGTCATGTTCCTCCCTCCAGTCCTGTTTGATTTAATTCTTACTTCACATATGGGATGCTTTCATAGAGGAAAGATAGGAAGGATATAGGCAAAACATAGTGGAAGCTCATAATCCTTTCATTCTTCACTCTACATCCAAAGTTGTATCCTGAATTATTTAAGTGCCGCTGCTTCTGGCTTTACTTAACTTTCCCTGAATTCTCATCAAGTTCGATTTGTCCTCTGGGCTCTGCTCCAGATACCTTTGGCAAACCTTAACCCTTCATTGCTCAACCTTGTAATCTATAAAACACATGGAAAAAACCCTTCAGCAATGTGCATCTGTTGTGAGAGTACATTTAACTCTTGCTGGTTGACTGCATGTGCTAGGTGAGATACATTGGAAACAAGCAGCACTGAAAATTTTCTTTCCAAGGGAGCTTGCAGCATTTTGGTCCTTCCAGGGTTTCTGTAGAGGAGGCAGAGAATTCCTTCCAGGCTTGGCTTTCTGTTGGCTTGTTCAGAAGATGCCCCTTTTCTTCTGGACAGAAGGTACACTTGTTAAGGAAGAGTGTAATTAATAGACCTTCACTGCTCACATGAGGAGGTCTCTGGCATGATGGCAGAAAGCTGCAGACTAATCTGCAGGCTTGGTTAACCTGGAGGAAAAAGGATGAAAGAAATTTAGAAACAAAAATGTGCTTGCCTTGAGGAAACTGAGAGGTGCTAGTGCTAGACATTAAGTGGGCTGATCTTGAGTAGATCCTGAGGAATTCTGGAATAGATATAAACTAGATACTTCATAACTTGGATATTAAAGTGATGGTCCTATAGACAAGTGAACAAACAGCAGGTTGTGTTCTTATTCTGTTGCAGAGGAAACTATCTGCAGATTTATTGAGCAAGGAAAATTTTTGGAAGCTTGTGAACAAATTCATAATCTGGAGCATTCTGGAAATGATGGTTTGAGAAAGTCTGAATCACTTTATGTGCTGCTGGCTGAACGAATGTGGACTGTAGTGGGAGAAGCACTCAGTGGAAGTGATAGGATGGTCCTGGAGCCATTACAGTCAATGGGGGAATCACTGAAGTGGGAGAAGCAGAAGGAAGCAGAGCGGCTTGGCAACGGCCTAGAGACAGATCCTGTTTCCACCTGGAGCCCAAACTTCTGGAGAAAAGATCTGGAGGAAAAGCTAATTCAGTACATGACAGCCCAGATTCCCCCGTTTGCTTCCTCTAGTGACACAGATGAGACTGCACTAAACCAGCACCTGAGTCAGCTGGAAAGGACGTTTCTCCCCAGCCTGGAGCACAGCAGTGATGCCTTCAGGGACGCAGGGCTGCTCCTCACCTACTCCCGCTGCTGTCACGCCTCTTTGTGTTCTCACCTTGCCACACTTACTGACAGCAACTGTTTCAGCTTCAGCCAAAGCCTTTTAATTTATGGATGGAGCATTAAAATGTACAAAAGGTATGTGTGAAGGGCTTTTTTTCCTACATTTTTCTATCTCTCTATTTTTTTTGTTTCTGAGAGCAGTCCCTGCTTCCTGATAACACAGTGATGATCAGGACTCTTGCTGAGTTTAGATTTGCCCACTGCCTCTTTTATCTTCTGTGCTCTCAGAACCAGAGCCTTTTTTAATTGCAGTATTGCCTCTTTCTAAATCCTTAATACCAGATTCATTGATTTACCTGAGGTGGGCAGATATTTTTCTGCTGGACTGCTGTTGGACATGCACAGTTTTCTGCTTTATTGAACAATTTCTTTCCTTGCATCAAGCCTTTTTTAACAAGGTCCATAATACTCCAATTACCCCAGAGTAATTTTCTCTGGCCTTTATGTCAGCATGGTGCTCTATGGATTTCTCTTGTTTTGCCCTTAGTTCTCCCACTGCTTTATCTGGCTTGTAGTTTTCCCAGCTGTTTCTGTATTTCCTTCATTAGTGTTCAGATCACAGGAAAAACAAGGAACAGATCATTAAATTCCTGCCCAAGTCTGGGGAAACAGATATGGCTTTCTCTCTGAAGGCACATCTGGGGCCCTTTGGCCCAATGTGAATTCAAAGCCTATGGGTATCATCAAAGCCTGAAACTTTCTTGTGATTCCTTTTTTTATGGTGGATGAGGCGTTTGATTCTCTGTGTCCGTGGTTTAATTGCTATTTGGCAGCTCCAATCTACTTATGCCTAATAGTTCTTAGCCTTTTTGGATTATTTGATTGCTTTCATCCAAGCCCGCAGCTTCTCTGTTCCTTGTATTAATTACACTTATAAACCCTTGATTAGCTCATTAGCAGCTCATCAGGTAGTCTCTTCACCCAGCCAGCTCCCGAAGGAGGGAAACAGTGTGGTGGATACACCCTGACCATCATCAGGCACATGGTAGATGTGGTCAGGAGGCATCCCTTTTACTGCTGCTTTTAAAATGGTAAAACTTCGGAGTAATTGATTTATTAAATATTGAAAACTTTAATAAAAGTGGAGGTGAAAAATAATGTAATTTAATTATATAAAGTAAAGTTAATATAGGGGGAAAATGTATTATATAAATGCAGAATCCCTTCAAGAAAAAAACCAAAACCCAAACAAGTAAGAGCAGTGACTGTATTAGTCAGATGGTAATGAAAAAAGTAGAAATGAGAAGAGCAGAGATGCCAAACTTCAGCATTTGATTTTTCCTCTCTAAATACAGTTACAACCTCTATGAAAGCTCATGCACAGATTCAGTTGTCTTGGTATGTAGCTGCTTCTTATTCCATTCAGAAAGAGTATGTGACACTTGCAAAATTGTGCACTCATGCAAGTGTGCTTGGGAGACTCTCCCCGAGCTTAAGAAGGAATTGAGCAGCAGCAGTGAGGGAAGGGGAGAGGGGAACAAGCAAAACCTTAACTTGGGCAGCAAATGTAGGAAGAAGGAGAAGAAACAGCACAAAAGAAAAACTGGCAAAAGGCCATTGTCAAGATCATCTACTGTGCTGTGGCTGCCCAGGCTTGGCAAGCACTGCTGGGTTCTTGCAGGGCGCTCTGTTTGCTTAGTGTGAGGCTGTGGTGCCAAGCAGGGGTGCCAGGCAGGCGATGCTGGGGACCCGCGGGAAGCTGCCCCTCTGGCTGAGCTCTTGTTTCTGCACACAGAGGCAGCCAGGCATGTGTGAGACCCGAGCACAGCCTCTCCCTTGGTGCACAGTGCCTCGTGTGGATTCTTTTGAAGACTGAGGAAAAGTTACTTGCAACTGCACGGGTAAGAACTCAGGAGTTTTACCCCAATCTGCTGATTTTATTCCCGTGGTTTTAAATTAAGGGGTGCCCTTGTTAAATAGCCAGCTCTGCTCAGGTATGTGTGAGTCCCAAGGTCTCCATCATGACCAAGTTTCATTGCAGAGCCCATGCGTGAAGATCTATGATTTGTTGCTGCCAAAGGGAGGCTGCCCTGTCCTTGCTCCTTAGCAAGGAAATGCTGGCACTTTTGCAAATCTCTCTTCATCCCACTGCTGTCTATTCAGAGAACTGCAATCTGCTCTGATCAGAAGCCCCTTTATCTGGAGGAAAGGGAGACTATGGGTGAAACCCACTTCCTTATTGAGGGCCGTTTCAAAATGTTATTCATCTTCTCTCCATCTGTTAATGATCCCATCATTAACAAAGTGTGCAAAGTTAGGTTTTCTTACAGCTCCTTTGCCTCAGTTGTGCAGGATATTGAGGCTGCTAAGTTTGCCTGTGTGTGGACCCCTCACAGCCTGTTGGACTGACACTGCTGATGTTAGAGCAAGATTATTTCCAGAGCTCAGCACAAGAAAATGTACAGCTGGTACTCACCCAGCAGCCCTCCACAGAGAATCCTGTCCTGTGATCCCACGGGTGACCCCAACGCTGTCAGCTGCAGCATCTCTTTCTTTTCTCAGCAAAGATCCCTCTTTGAAGAATTCTGTTGAGACATGTGGAATACAAATGAAGGAGGGAAGATGTGTTGTAGCAATGGGGAGTTCCAGAGGAAACCACATTATTTGGAAAACTCAGCGGGGCCCCTTTTATTCAGCTAAAGCTGAAATGCAACAGCAGGAGTTACCACACTCAGCTCCCTTGCTTTCCATTTCCACCAGCCCCTGGGGAGCAGAGGAGGGGAAATTCCATGGCAAACTGCTGAATCATCCCTGGGAAAGTACTCTAAATTGCAGAGATTTTCCTCAAGAATTATTCCCTGAAGAACATGAAAGTAGTCATAAACATGGGAGTGGAAGTACCAGCTGGTGACAATATGCTTAAAGCCTACTGATTTCAGGGTTTAAGTGTTTTTATGGGCTGTTTTTAATCATTACCCTGGGGAAGACCATGTGTCCTCAAGCTCTTTTTCTAGTATTTATTTCAAAGAAGGAAGTGACTTAACTCAGGGCAGTGCCACTGAGGTTATCCTAGAGCAAGTCACTGAGTCATTGACAAGCCCTCAAAGATGCTGACTAATGGTGATGGGAAATGTAACTTTTTTTTTTGTTGTCTCTAATGTAATAGCTGAAGAATGCTTTTGCTTAACCACGGGCTTTCTGTTTTCCTGATACACCATGTGCTGAGCAGGCTCACCTCAATCTGGTTATGAGCTTTTGTGCCATGCTGCCCTGAGTTTTCATGCCACCTTGGATCCTGAAGCATCACAGCTCTATGTGGTGCTGAGTTGTACAGAAAGAACAGAGCTGGAAGTGCTGGACAGTGTAGCACAGCACTGCCCCAGCTCGCTTCAAACCTGGCCAGCTTGGGAACAGCTCCAGATTCAAGCTAATGAGCTTAAGTGGACATAAGCTGACTCCATATGGAAAAATCATGGATGTCTCTTCAGCTCAGTGGCACAGCTTATAAAACCTGCTTTATCCCTCTATTTCTGCTTCTAGGGTAATTTAGCCCTGCATTAAGCTAATATACAGGAAGTTGTTATTGAGCAAATATCCTGCTGTTATCTCTTAACAATTGTCATATATTATTGTGCCTAAATCACATGGTGTGTTTTTTGCCACTTCAATGGATGACTAAAATTTCAGAATGAAAAGATCCTGACCAGAATAAGCTATGGTCTGCTTTGCTTATGAATACCCGGCTTATCTTTGGGTGTGGCAGCCTGATATCTGTGTAAACTAAAAGCACTTTATACAGAAATGAGTGGCAAGAACTGTGAGCACATCTGAAGGTGCTGCACCCCAGATATCACATGGGGTTCAAAACCACTTTGAAACTCCAGTGTGGAGAACTTGGTCAGCTCTGCGTGCAGGCAGCATTCCCCTCAATCTGGATACACCTGGGGCAGGGGAGCTTTGTGCCTGTGAGGTTACAAAGCTGGTGAACTGAAAATGCTGTTGCCAACAGTTGGGTCGCCAATTTGTCACCTCTGCTCTTGCTGCTCTGGGGAGTTTGACAGCAGTGCAAGGCAGACCTTCCAGCATGATGCCAGGGCTCATTCTCGTACTCATTTACACTGACCTGCAAAGGATCACTTGGCTCTGTGTCTTCTCCCCACCACCCCTCTATTTTTTCAAGTGGAAAGAAGGAGAACTTTGTGTTCTGCAGTCAGCACAGGTGTACTGACCATCCACGGATCTGAAGCCTTACAACATTTTGGTCAGACAGGAAGAAACAAGAAGTGAGCTGGGCTTGTTTATTGCAGAAGTTTTGGTCCTCTCCACATTGGAGCTTTGGTGCTGGTATCACTACAAGAGCTACAGACAAGCAGGCTGTTTCTAATGCAGACACATAATCTGATCCAAAACAACTAAGTGCTGTCCTCAACAAGTTATTAATTGCCTTGCAGTTCCTCACTAAGCCATGCTTTGTCCCATTGTGGGGGGCAGGCTTGAAGTGTTTGTGCAGCTCAGCGGGGATGTGCTATCTCAGCACATAGTGTTCACACATTTGCTCACAGTCAGGTGATGGCACTTGTGAGGAAAGAAATTTTTCTGGGTTGTTTACAACTGCTTATTTGTCTTTGATTAACACTTTTCAGTGAATATGGGAGAGGAGTTGTTTTGAATATACTTTTGATGAAATTCTTCAGCTGACAGCTACAAATTTCCTAATTCATCAGCCAGAAAAGAACAAAGACCAAAATGGGACATCAGACTTTACATTCCTTGGAGGAAGATTCAGAAATGAAAGAATAAATAAGCAAGCCAGACTTTTGAGTTTAAAGCTTCTATAAAGGTCAGATCATGTTTTAAGCAACAAGCCGTTTCTCTGCAGTGCTAGTTTTGTTTCTACAGCCATTCAAACTAGCAAAAACCAGCCAAGTCTTGGGAAATTTCCCATCGTGCAGCCCATGGGGCCCATCTCACCATGACAGTAGCTCTAAACACTAACCCGGCTCCTCTTTGCACTCACAAGTCCCTGGCTCAAGCAAGGAATGGTTTTAATTAATGCTGGCTGGTTTCTGTGGATGCTGGTTGGAGAGAGGAAGGGTGGAAAATCTCAGCTACAGTAGCTGGCAGCATGGAGATGTATCTAAGCATTGTTTTGCTGTGTGGGCGCCTTCACTTGAGCTAAGCTAACTAGGGAAGACTGTAGATAACCCAAGCTGACACTGGGATGAAAGAAAGCTGCAAATCATTTAAACTCAAACAAACAATGTAGAACAAAACAGAGCAATGTTATTGGGTCAGCTGGAAAATAGCCAGGCTTTGGGTTAAATGAGACAGCCAAAAAATGGAGGCAGAAATTCATCTAGCCCAAATGGATAATGAGAGGCTGGGAAATCTAAGTCTTATGAATGCCATTGTATCTTAACTGTACTTTTTAATTTCCTTTTATCATTTAGAAGGAAGTGGGGAAAGCACTGAAAGGAGCCTTTGATCTTGGGAAACCCCCTTGTGCAGACACCACAGTCATTGAGGTAAACTGGGGGGAACTGAAAAGCTCCCAGTCTTTGGGGCAGTCGTGTTTTTGCACACAAGCATGCGGGTGTTTGGCAAGACCCAGTCTAAGCTCAGTGTGTTAAAAGCCTGCAAACTGGCTGCCATGCTTAAGCTGTGTTTGTTTGCTCCCAAACCTGTTTTTCCCCTGGGCATACATAAAGGAAAAAATACCTTCTTACTAAATTAAGGAGAAGCCTGAGCTGATTCAAGCTGAAGCTGCATTTTCATACACGCTCTTGGATCTTTATGTAACCTTTTGGAAAGTCGTGGTGTGTGTTACCCAGGCTGCTCTGTGTGAGCTCTGCAGAGCACTTTTACAGAAGCAGGGAGAGCTGCTGAGCCGTGGCAGGGCCCCTTGGCTGGCAGTGCAGACCGCAGGCAGGCTGCTCCCTGCTTGTCCCTGCTGGGATGCTGCCCCGGGCAGAGCAGAGCACAGCAAAGGCGAGTGCTCCAGGGCACGGCAGGAGCACACCCTGCTGACTCGTGAGCAGCATGTACTGTGGGCAGAGGATGTGTGGATCACGACCTGCAGAAGGATTAAAATAAATCCTGGAGTTTACATGTGGGCTTAAGTGAGGCTGGAGATCAGGGGCATGGCTGTGGGCTGTCATGACTGTGTCTTTCTTCTCCATTTCCAGCACCCCAGTGGCAGTCCCGTTTCAGGCCATGAGAGAGGGAAGTAGCTCCATGGTCCTTTGGGATGGCAGGCAGCCTCAGGCATTGGAAGCATTGCAGATCAGCAGCAGCTGGTTTTCCTTGTGAGGATACAGCTTTAGCTAGCAAGCACAGGCTTTTCTGGCCCATCTCAGACCCAAGCACCAAATGCAGAGCTCACATCAGGGACTGTTTCCTCCTTGCCTTGCCCTGTACCTGCTGGATCAAGGGAGCAGTGATGTGCCCAGTGATGTACCTGTGCTAGGGTGATGTTCAGTTACCAAGATGTTTTTTTCCCTGCTCTTGGCTCAGAGTGGAAAGTTTTCTAACAAGAACTAGGACAAAGCATGGTTTGAGTCCTCATATCTGTAACATCTGGCCATGCTTCAGCATGAGTGGATTCCCTCTGTTGTGTATGCAACTGACGGGTTTGAATGCTTTGGGGTGGGTGATGGAAAAGCCTGGATTAATAGGAAAGCCTTATGAAATTACCACCTCCTCAATTTTCTCAGGCTGACACTTAAACTTCAGATAGAAAATGAACAAGGTGTCATGGAAACTTATCAGCTGTGGTTTTCTGACACTTTGGGATGGTTTATTTCATCCAGCCCCTTTGGGTGAGCTTTTGTATCTGTTATAAGCAGTGGAAAAACCCATTCATGATGTGAGTCACCCTTTGTCTCTGGCTGAGAGCACTGTGAGGGCACAGCATATGGGTCCATCTGTCTCCTTTTATCCATCTGGCTCTCCTTACAAGCTTTTGTTTCCACAGAGCAACTAATGGGCAGCATTAAGTTGCCACCTGCTCAAGCCTGCCTGATATGGGGTGAATTTTGAGCTGTCTGGCACAGCCCACCTCCTGCAGACACCTGGGCCACCCAGCTGGGGTCAGTGGGGCAGGACATGTGCTGTAGGGTTTAACACACAGAGCTGGGGCAGGTGTGAGTGCTGGTGGCTGGGAAGGTGACACCTGCCCTCTTCAGGCATCCCATGTAGAGCCCCTGGCAGAGGTGCAGGGCACACAGTTAGGTCTGCATCACCTTCTTTTTAGTGGCTGCACCCAAATTTATCTGTGAGGATGAGTCAGGTAGAAGCACAGATGCTCCTGCAGATGGCAGGTCCATGTATGAGCTGAGCTGCCAGGCTGGATGTGGCCAGCAGAGAATATCTGCAGGGACAGGCTTTTACCCAAGCACAGGCCTGCTGACCACAACAAAAACAGTGTAGGGTTAGGCATTACAATAAGGCTGATGAAAAATACATTTATTTCCATGAGGACTCTTAAAACTGATGCAGAAGTTGGTACCTAAGGCAGAGGGATTTTCTGCAGGGTGAGCAGTGAGACGGTTTCCTGTTCATTGCATAGGGAACAAATGACTTGGCCAGTTCTCCTCTCACACATTGAAATCCACAGATACTAACAGAGAAAACAGAGGCTGCCAGGCAAGTCAGCGAGAGCCTGAGTGAGAAGGTGGAAGCTGAGTGCCTGGAGGAGTGCCTGAGGTTCCTGGAGAGGTAGGAAGGATGCTCTTTTCCTCCTTGGTAACATTCCTAATGCTCAAAAGAAAGAAACCCCAATGAAGCAGCTGGTGATGCTGTGTTAACCTGGACCTTGACGGCTGTTTCCCATTAAGCTGTTACCTGAGAGACAGCACTTCACTGCTGTTTGTGTGCTCAGTATTTGTAGCTGGACTAAAGCTGAGGGAACAAAGTGCATCTGGAGTAGCTGGGACAGGATAAAGCCTTAGGGGGAGTTCTGGAGAGGCTCAGACCTTAAACACACCTGGGAAGTTGGGCAGCCAAGTGCCCAGGCCTGACCCTTCCTACCCTGGCTGTGCATCCCAGGCACAGTGCTTTCTGCTGCTTCTGTGTCAGGGTGGAGAGATCTGCTCTGTCCTGGGTCTCACAGCAGAATGAATGTCTTCTCATCTGGCCTCTCACCACTTCCTCTGGCTCCCTCCATCTGCTTTTTGTTCTTGGGTATTTCTCTCCCCATGTATCCCCCGCAGCAGAAAATGCCAGGACTGCTGGTTTAGGTAGTATTTCAGATGGAGATTTGATTTAAGATCCTTGGCCCTCCACATGATGAGAGGAAGGAAATTCCTATAAAATGGAGTTGTCCAGAAGCCCTTTGTGAGACTGAGACTGACAAAGCAATTCAGAAACCTTGTGGGTTATTCGTACACAAGAGATTTTATTCTGCAGCTTTATTGGCAAAGCCTGGGTTGCTTCCCAGAAGGAAGTGCTGCAAATGAACCTCCTGCCTCTTGGTCCCTGCAAAGGTACCCAGGCAGCTCCAGGGCTCTCCCTGCTGTTCCTGTGTTTGTCTTCCTCCTTAGCTGGGCAGGACAGAGACTTTGTCATGCTGTAGATCCCACCTGGGGGATTGAAACCATGAGATAAAAAGACAGTCACAGAATATTTCTTTAGTTTGCTATTGCTGTTAAATGTGTTATGGAGCACACCAGATTAAAGTGTTCTTCCTGTTTTAATTTAGCTATGAAGATGAAGTAAGAAGTTTTCTCCAGCTTGATGGCTGCCCGCAGATCTGCAGCAGCTTACGAATCCTGGAGAATTGCTGCCTTCTCAGGTTAGAAAGCAGAGCCTCATGACATGGGGAGCAAAATGAGTTTTCTGCTGGTCTGATCTCCTTCTGACTCTGGTATGAGGCCAATCTTGCCTTCAGCTGGGTATGGTCATCCAACCCTGTGCACACCAGCCTTTAAACACGGAGAAGCCAGCTGCTGTCAGCAGGACTCCAGCAGAGCTGCCCTGGCTGCCCCAGCAAGAGGGAGGCTGAGATGGGGGCTGTGACTGTGGCCAGGGCCACAGGGCTGTACTGCCACTTTTTGCCTGCTCCCAGGCCCTGCAGGTGCAGGGGTTGCAGCCATCTCCCCCTTCCTGCACTGAGCAGGAGGCAGGCAGCAGTGCTGTGTCAGGGGTGGGGACACTATCCTGGCTAACCCCACTGTGGGTTGTGATAGCCTTCCTTTCCCCAGCCTCATGGTCCTCCAGCAGGAAAGCCTCATAAAGGTTATGCTGAGATGTGTGTGCTACTGCACTTGGTAGGTGCAATCTTAAGTGCTTTGCTGAATGAAATCCCACGGAATACGCCAGGCTCTCCTTGGGGTTGCTAGGAAGGAGGGAAGCAGTAAAGCACAGAAGGGTGGAGGAGGATGTTTGCACCTACAAGCTAATGTCAGAAGCACTTGAAGCAATGGAAAAAACAAGGTTGCTTCTCTTCTTCCTGTGTAAAGTTATCCAGGGATCTCTGGAGTCAGCAAAATGCCAAAATCCAACATATGCACAGTGATTACTTGACAACAGAGCCTTGTGTTGAGCCTAGGTAGCTGCTTTGTTTGTTGTATTTGCATGTAGCTGATGCTGGATCCTAGACTGAATACTTATGAGAATCTTTTATGTAATCCTTCACAGCTTTACTTAGAATGAAGTTGCACACTGAGCCTTTCCAGAATGTAGAATGTCTGGTTTCAAGCTGGTGATAATTTTAACCAGGATTTGCTGACTGGAAGACTGTTCTGATGGAAGATAATTGTTTGTCTTGTATTTGTAGATTGTCAAAGGCACAAGGGATGCTCACCCAGATTCTGTTTGTCAAGGCTGCTTCATGCTTGCTCATTTTTGAAAATACTAGAATTTTTATTGGTCTGATCTCACTAGTGATGGGTACAGGTGGCATTTGCATGCACTGAGCTTTTGTGCCCTTGTGGCAGTGTCTTAATGAGAACAGAAATGCAGATCTCTGAGCTGGCTTTGGACCTGAGCATGTGTCCATTCAATGACCCAGGCAGCTGTGTTGGTTACAGTAGAGTTTTGATCTGAGAGAATAGCGTGATTTGATCTGATCAATACTTTCCATATTTATTTTTTTTAAACAGAACTGTCTGGCATAAGCTAACATACATTTGCAGTGTCAGCACTGATCAGAATGTTAAGGTAAATGGATTTCTACACAGGATGGAAGATGATATTATGGAGCATTTTCTGCAGACCATCACTTCTAAAGTCAAGGTATGGAAGACCCATTTTAATTCTGACTATTTGCAGACCATATGGATGGCATGCACTTCCCTCTCATGTCCTGATTTGGAAAAGGTGAAGCCATAGTTTGGCCTTCAAGCCTAGTACTCTCCTCTGCCTTGTCAGAATCGGTATGTGGACAACTTCACATTTTCCAGGTTTTGGACCCCAGTTTCACTGTTTGTAGCATTTGCTGTTGTGCTGCCCAGACCCCAAAAAGTTGAATTTCACCTGGTACCTATTCATTCCCAGCAGCTGGGCATCTTCCCAGGACAGTGATAATTCACAGAGCCCAGGGCTGTGCTGGGTAGTCAGGAGGTAGAGAAGGCTGAGCAGAAATGTGTCCCTCCCCTTAAGATAAAGTCCCCTCCCTTCACACTTTCTAGTATTAGTCTGTTAGCCCAAACACCCTTCACCCTTGTGTCTGGAAAACACAGAATTCCAGGCTCCTAGCAGCGTGTGATCCTGTGCATTTCCCTGGGAAGCTCCCCTGAGCATCTTCAGCCTCATTGCACAGGCTCCCTCGGGCACGCTGGAGGCAGCAAAAGGAAAATGACAAGAGAAACTCTGGCTACACTGTGCAGTTTTGGTCTCCAGAGCTCATTGCCAGCCTGTCCCATGGGTCCACACATCTATGTGGGAACAGGGGGTGATTTTGACAGAGCACCAGCAACACTGGGGGGGAACAGGAGACCCAGGGCCCAGGTTTTCAATCTACCAGCTTTGAGCTTAAGAACTTAGCACATCCTTCCTGAGTTGGAATTGTTTCTTTCTTTCATGTTTTGATTTTCTTTGAAATAAAAACACAGGATGCTGCAATTGGTGGAGAAATCTGTTTCCAAGAGCAGAAAGAGCAAAGACACAATAATCTGTGTCTGTTGTTTGTTTGGTGTCTCTACATGTGCACCCTTTGACTCTGTCTGTTTCTTTTCCTCAGGGAACACTGAAGGACCACTTCAAAAAGTGTGACAGTGGTTTTGACCACATCCTTGAGTCCTTAAAGCAAAACTTTTTGACCTTTGGGAAGAAAAACACAGATACCTATGAGGTAAGAAATAAGTAAGAAAGTGAGAACAATATGTTACTCAGGAAATCATCCTACAAGAAAGATGGGGAGGGATTTTTTCCAAGGGCATGTAGTAAAAGGACAAGGGGGAATGGATTCAAACTAAAAGAGAATAGGTTTAGATTAGATTTTAGGGGAAAGTTCTTTGCTGTGGGAGTGGTGAGGTGCTGGAAGAAGTTGCCCAGAGAAGCTGAGGATGCCCCATCTCTGGAAGCGTTCAAGGCCATGTTGGGCAGGATACTGAGCAACCTATTCTGGTGGAAGGTGACCCTGCCCATGGCAGGGGGGTTTGAGCTAGGTGATCTTTAAGGTATCTTCCAACTCAAACCATTCTGTTCTGTGAAATCACTAAAACTAGTAATTGAACATTTGGATGGCACAATACTAGAAAATTAATCTAAACTGCAGTTTTCTCTGTTGTCAAATGGGCTTTTAGGTATCTAATGGTTTCAGTCCAGTACCTCTATCCACCAGGGTTGGGTAATGACAGCTGGGACCTTTCTGTAGTTTCAGCAAAGAAACCAACAAGTGAAGAAATGTGAAAACTGATGTACCTCAAATATAGAGGGGAATGTTGGGCTCCCTCCTCTCCTACCATTGCCCCAATACCATTATATTGGAAAACTTCTCAGCTTCTAATGTGCTTTAACCTTATTTGTAAGGATTATTGATCCCTTTGATGTAGAGTGGACACAGAGGGGTGAAAAGTCCAAATTCTTAAAGGGCATAGCATTTCATGCAGAGTAATTGGCAAACAACCTCACAAAAGACCCAAGTTTTTTCACCTTTACTGCAGCCTAAATAACTCATCTAGGATCTTACAACACCCTTGAGTCTATCTCTTCAGCAATGAGGTTGGTACCTGGGGAACCCTCTCTTTTGTGCAGGCTGGATTTGCTGCTGCTACATGTGCCACGTGTCCTCCTAAGCACGGGACTCCCAGGTCTGCAGTGCCTTTGTCAGTGATGATTTTAATTAACCTTTTGCAATATGGAAAAAGTAATGGAAGAGAAAAAAAGTAGGATCTATTCTGCTGTTGTTGAAAGCCTGTCACTGGATATTATGTCACATTAGTGCTGGGGCAAGCAGCAGCTCAGTGGTGAAACACTGTGCCAGAGCTCTCTGTCTCTTGCTTTGTCTGTTTTGGACAGAGCTGGGGATTTCCTGTACCTTTGGACTGCAGCCTAACCCTGCTCTGATTTCAGTTGCTAACAAAATGCGGTTTCTGTGCAGCAGCCCACCCCCATCAGAAGCACTCACTGTCCCTGACAAGCACTGCATGGCCTCTGCACTGGGGTTCCTCAGCAGGCAGTGAGAGCTAAGACAGAGTTGCCCAGGTGACTTCTCTGTGCCCAGCCACAACTGTGTGCCCAAGGGCCCTGTGTCAAGTGTAGATGCTCGAGGGAGGCTGCACCTGGCTTTGTCTGCAGCCCAAGCTCTCCCCAGGTGAGGAATTTGTTAGCCAAGCCAAGTGTCGCTGCAGCTCTGGAGTGTGAGTGACCTCTGGCTCAGCTAACTGGTCCCATTGCTTTTGATTTGATATCTCCACACTTACCATCAAGGTTTGTCATCCACATGCAGCTTGGTGATAGTCCAAGTGTCAGATCAAGCATTTTAAATTAATACTTAAACAACGAAATGAGACAGCCATCTGCATGGGCAGAATATCTGCTGTCTGCCCCAGTACAGGTGTTGTCTGAGCCTTGCTTGGTGCAGGAAGTTAATCTGGGTATCTTTGCTCTGGAACAGGTCCTCGTCAAGGCTGTCAATGCCATCATTATTACAGAATACATGCAGGCCATCCTGAGCACTCCCAGGAAAACATCTGCTAAGCAGAGGAGGAGGATTGTCAACAAGATAGAAGAAGATCATAGGATGATGCAAACCATCTTTAAAGAGTGCTTAGTAAGTCTTTGATATGGTTACAGTTTTGCTCTTTGTCGTCAAGAACAATGGCAGCAGAGGAAGAGACTCTGAAAACTACAAAAAAGCTTAAGAGTTTTTACCACAGGGGTATCAAGCTTCACTGAAATGACAGTCAGATGTGCTGACAGCCCTTCTGATCTGTCAGAAGCTGTTAGTTCATGGTTTTGAAATGTGTGACTGGAAGAAGTTTCGTGCTGCTGCCACTGACACAAGAATGGGGCGTGCTCCTCTGAGCTGGTGAGACAGGTCCAAAGCTGCCAGCTGCCCCTATCAGGCCTCTGGTACCTGGCATGGGATGGCAGTGCTTACCTTGAGCCTCTGGAGTGATGAAGCAAACAGGCTGCTCCACACCTCCACCGCTCTGTGGATTGCCCTGTAAGGCTGCTCCTCCCTGGACGTGGGGTGTGCATTGCCACCCCTCTGTCCAGCCTCCTCCCTCCCCACAGGCCCTTCCCAGCCCCTCAGAACAGGGATGATGGCTGCCTGAGCCATTTCCCTGTGCTGTGGCATTTCCTCATGGCAAAAACATGCTGATGCTGTTGTGGTTGCTGATGGTTGTGGGGAGGAACGAGTCTTCCTGCAGGGGTAAACACCTCACACCATTAGGAGGTGAAGGCGTATTGCAGAAGATTGGGTGTAAAAGCAGAGCCACACCTCTGGAGAAAACTTGTGCAGAAGTGCTGGTTCTGATTTGCAGAAACAACTTCAGAGGCTTTAAAAAGTCTCACCTCATAATCTGGTGTAATTGGCAGTGCTGCACACAGCATCTGCGAATGCCACCAGGCTGTCACATGAGTCCCTTGATTACCCAAGGGCCAGCACTGCACTGGCAGCAGCGTTCCCTCCTTCAGCTGGTCCAGTTGGAGAATCACTGCTGTCCAATGTCCCTGGCATGGCTCATTAGCAATGCAGGCTGAGAATGCCCAGGCATGGTGCTTCATAAGGGGCTGGGCTGAGCAGCACAGCAGTGGGTGCAAAGTCATTCTGGTAACAGGACTCCGATGTGACAGCATATAAACTCCCTTGGCTACATTGGTTTTAATGATTTCACAAATGCTGAGTCATTCTCACAACTTGCCTATTTAAGTGCTAGGGACTGAAAAGCTATTTTCTCACAGATGAGTCCCTTGCAAGCCATATGTCAGCAATTCTTACCTTGTCCAAAGAATAAAATGAAATAAAAATGATTGTCTGTAGGCTTCTCTAAAATCCTCTCAGACCCATTATAGTTAATGCATTAGATTCATGGCAGAAAGCTGGAAACTGCCAGTGCTTTTAGCTGAAGACCCACCTCTCTTGGAGTGATCGGTCACAGATGAATTAATGCTTTCAGCAATTGAGACATGGGGAAGAGCAGGAAGGTTCTCTAATCTTAACTCTGATGTTTACCAGAAATGCTGTGCACAGCATCAGCTTTGGGTGTAACATGCATGGAACAGTGCAAAGGAAATGGAAGAAATCTAATATCTCTTAAAACCATACATTAAACTTGGGTGAAAAAGGGCTGCATCTGGTTAGACCACTTTTCCCAGTATCCCCAGTGTGTGCACTTTCCTACTTGGTGTGAGAGCACTGAAAGCCTTGGAGGTGAAATGCACAAGAGATTTGCAGGGGACAGCCTGCTCCTTAGTCACGAGGCTCACGGTTATGCATGTGAAATATGAACTCTGCTGCAGATTGAATTTATCATGCAGTTGTTGCACAGGCTGCACCTGCTCCCTGCCCTGCTCTGCCCTCTCTTTGGGCTCTTCCTTCCCCTCTGCTCTCAAAACACATTAGGAAATACCTTGCTTCTCTCCTAAGAGCAGTACGTGTCAAAGGCACTTAACACTGCTGACAAAACACCTTTTTTTTCCCTTTAGACTGCCGGCTGCTTACCTCTGACCTTGCCTGCCTATGTAGTGCTTAACTAAATCTGACGCCTTCAAATTAATTAGCATTTTGTAATAGTGAGCTTGCCAAGTATGAAGCTGTACAGTCCCAGTGCCTCAGGAGCTGAGTACAGCTTGTGCACTGAGCAGACATGCTGTGTGCCTGCAGTGCAGGGGGAGAGGGGGAAGGCTGTCTTCAAATATTATTATTATTTTTCATTTATGTTCATTGCAGAGGTGCCTCATGGAGAATGTGACCTGCTGTTTTTAATGGCCCCTGCAGATCAGGGGAACCTGGGCTTCTCCTGCCCCAGTTTGGCAGCCCGTTCTCCAGGTTTGCTTTGTCACAGAGTCTCTGTTGACGTGGTGGCATCAATAATTCAGGGAAGCAATTAAATTGCATTACTGCACTGATGAAAAATGTGAGCAAGACCTGAAACTCTCTTCCTGATGGTTCATCTGCATTCTGCTTCTCCAGCTCTGCTAAAAATGCTGTGTGTTTTTGATGAGACTTTTTTCTTCTGTGTGCTCCAGATTAGAGGGAGATCATCATGTGCAATATCTACCAACCATATGTTTTCTACACTGTCCAGCCCTGTTTCCCACTTTTTTTCTGTTAGAGGATCTGTGTTCTCTCATCCTCTCCCTAAGGTCACTTTTCTGTCCCTGGGCTTGCTTTGGGGTGGCAGAAATGCCAGCATGTTTGGCCAACAAGGCTTATTTTCACACAGGTCAAGCACAGGGCTGTGCTTATGTCCAGAAGCAAACCACGTCCCATGAGGTGAAATGGCCCTGGAAGGAAAGGCAGTTTAGGGAAAAATGAGAATTGCCAGATTTGCCAAAGGAAGTGCAGGAGGAGATTCTGTGCTGCTGAAAATTGTTGCCCAACAACCCTGGAAGCAGTCTGTGACTACTCCCCAAGTCCTTTTCTGCTACCCTGGGGTAAAATCAGACTTCTGTACATGCATAGACACTCCTGCAAAGCTCCTAATCCAGAGAGATCCCCAGTCTGACACCAGTCCAGCTCTTAATGTGCTGTACTGTTTCCCCTGCTCTGAACACAACACTGCTTTTCTCCCCAGGGTCCTGCAGCTGGTTCTCTCAAGGATCCCATAAAAGCAATTTTAGAACTTGTTCAAACTTCTGATCCTGAGGGGATGAAAATAGCACTTCTGCCCATACTAAAAGAATTTCCTGACCTCAGGTAATGTCTTTGTTTGGTTTGACTTCTGTACTTTCCTACATGATTACTTGAACCCAGGAGACCTACAGCAATATTGGTGCTGTGATACCTTTGCAGTGTGTTGGGCCAGGCACAGTGACCCTTTGAATGTACTCACTGGTGCCTGGTTTATATCCTTGTCAGACATGAACTGCTGAAGTTGAGATGTCCTGCTGTAAAGTTGGAGGATGGATGAAATTGCTGTCAACAAAGCAGAAATGCTGTGGAAAAGTACCACCTTAATGCAGAATTTACAGGAGTATATGTGTCAAATGTAGGTTTCAAGAACATCCTTAATTTGGGCATTTCATAGATTCCAAGCACTTGGCTTTTGGCTTCAACACTTCATCTAACCTTGTATGACTATTTTCAGAAGTTTCTAGGTGTATTCAGCAAGAATATACACATGTATTTCTTACAGCAAATTTAACAGAATTGAAACACGGGTTTTACTATGAAGGAGAGATCTTGGATAACTGCATTTTTTTCCAAAGCCTGCATTTTATTCCATCTATCTTTAGTTCTGATGTGCTGTGCCTGTGTTTTTCCAACTTAACATTATTGCAGTGTAGAGCTCTCTGTTAGAGCTGTCTGTTATGAAGGCCAAAAGTTTGAATACCTTCAAATGTGGGGCAGACAATTTGTGGCAGATAATGACTTCAGTGCCTATTCAACGTGACAGTCATCATATAAACCTGCAGCAAGGGAAGTCTCTAGACTTCTTAGGAAGGACTGCTGTAGGCAAATAAAAAAAAATAAAAAGAAAGACAAAGAGATTATGTTATGCTTCATCTGGTTTCTTAGTTAGTTTTTATTTTACTACTCAAAGAGATTATGTTATGCTTCATCTGGTTTCTTAGTTCTTTTTTACTTTACTACTTTTACTTTACTACTGAGCTAAAAAGCTGCTTATTTGATCAGTATAGCAATGATATATATATGTATATACATAGTATAGGAAGTAGGCATAGAAAGTTCTCAGAAGACCCAGATCTCAGAGGAGGTCATCCTGGTGTGAGTGGATGCACTGTTCTTGACTACAACAGATTTCTCTGTTTCAAACTGTTTGGCTTGGATACATTTGCCTTATATCCACTACAGTATTTCCCTGCTCAGGGGAACAGTGCTCTGTAGAACACAAATCATGTAACTTTCCAGATGAACAAGAATTAGCTCCATTTGAGGGGAGAAAAGATACCAAAAATGCCTCCAAATGGTCAAATGTAGAGTTATCTGAAACTTATTATGATGGATACAGGTCTTTTTCTAGGAATAACCTAAGCTGAACATTTTCAATACTTCACAGGGATGCTGTGTGCTCTGGGCTTGGGACTTGTGAGCTCAGCCTTGTCCCACACAGCTCTTGGGATATGGTCTCCCCATTAGATAGCCAGAGGGCATCAAAAAGCAGCTTCCAGTCTTTGGTCTGGTCCAACAAAACTGAGGGATGGGAAACAAATGCGGTTTTTTTCCTTGATTCATTCACTTACTGTCCTTTGTCCTTTTGGAAAGGAAGGAACATCTGAGTGCAGTGCTGGATATCAAAGATTCGCTCAGCCGAGAAGACAGAGCTGCTGTCTTGAAGGCATTTCATGATAATTGCAGTGACTCAGAAACAGAAGGAAACTTGCTTTTTGCAGATATAGAAGTAAAACCTAGAAAATATGGACTCTATGGCTGTCTCTGCTGTTAGCAAAGGTGGGTGTGTGTGAGTGTTCTTGTGTGTAACATGTACCTGCCCAGGCACACTTCTTACAGGGAGGTGGAGCTGTAGCCTCACCTCCCCAAGGTCCTCATTGCTCCATACACTGGCTCTACTTCCCTCTCTCTGCCTGCAGACTTCCACACCCTGGAGCATTGTGTTGTAGGCAGTGCAGGGTGCTGAATTCTTAGATGAGTGATTCAGGTTACAGCAGGGACAAAGGAGAAGACAGGACTGGCTCTTCCTCCCCATCTTTCACTCCTGTCTGTGTGTCCCTGCAGCAAGGTCTCTCTGCAGCATCCCCTCCCTCCCAGCTCTTACCCTCTGCCTGGGCATGGTCTCCCAGGCAAGTGCTGCTGCCTCCTAGCAGGACAAGCCAAGGAGGATCCTCTCAGTGATCCTCCTGCTTCTCTGATGAGGGGAAGGATATGTGAGCCCCACCACTGCCCCCTCAATGACAGCTATGTTATTTAAACCAGGCTTGGCCCCATTTAGCTGACTGTGCTGTGAGAACCAGAGGCAAGCGTGCCCACTGCATGCTGGCCCTCACTTGGGGCACTTGCAATCACCTTTCAGTCTCCCAAGGGACTCCTTCATAATCACAAATGGGCATTTTTTGGGGGGCGGGGTGGGGGGAGGAGAGTAGGCTAATTTGCAGCAGATTTCAAAGTTAAGCAGTTCCTCATTGCTGCTTAGTGGAAAACATGCAGCTATTTTCTTCACTTTAAATAATTGACAATTGCTTGTTAGTCCAAAGTTATCCAGCTCCAGCTCAGAGGTAGAGAATTTTGTTTTATGTTGGCCAGGTCAGAGCCCTCAGAAATAGTCCTGCTCAGTTATTAATTACAGATTGTCAGCAGTTACCTTCTGTTGCATAACCTGAAGTAGCCTGAGGTTGAGAAGCACAGTCCCTTTCCTCCTCCACTCTCAGGTGTCACTATTTATTTATAGTTACCCATGTTAACAGATCAGGGATGAGGTATGCAGGACTCTGCCCTCCAGGCACAGGCAGACAGCAGGCTGCACTAGTAGCAGGGAAAGAAAACAATTAAAGAAACAATTAATAAGCACAAAAGCTTCCCCTCCTAATGAAAACTGATTCTGATATAATGAACTGGCTGTCAACCACCCATGTTTATACCCTGCTTTAAAGAAATTACCCATAGTGTCACCTTTGCTTTAGTAAAGATATCAAGGAACAAGTTTTTAAAGCATTTTAAGTCCCTGAATCTCCTGTTTGCTGAAATTCCCTGGGTAAATAGGCTCCCAAATCCCAGCAGAGCCAGCTGAGTTTGCAGTGTGGTGGACACACCCAAGCTCAGGGGTTTCAGTAAAGGTGAAATTACTTATGGGATGTGCTACCTTCCTCCTTCCATCCCAGCCCTGTGATTTTGTTGCAATACTTTGGGGTGTGACCTGTAGGCTCTCTGAGAATCAGCTGCTTCCTCCCAGCCAGAAACACATTTCTCTCTCCTGTATATGGAGGTGGCAGGACTTTGGAAGAACACTGGTTTTGGTTGTTTCATGTTAGCACGAAATGTCCTTCCAGAAGAGGAGTGAGAAGGTTTGGCTGGGGAGGGCAGGCAGCAGTGGGGGTGCTGCCCAAGGATTGCTTAGCCCAGGAGGGATTGAGGAGTGGAGGATTTCAGCAGGTAAATGTGGATACAGCTTCGTGCAAGAGTGTGCACAGGAGGGATGTTTCTGCTGTTTGATTCTTGCACATGTTCTGACGAGTGCTATTTAATTACCCAGCTTTTTTCTTGCCTTCCCTCAGGCCTGCTGGGAGAAACATGAGGCCTTGCTCTGCTGTGCCAGTGTCTGCAACCACAGCTCCTTGAAAGCTTCATATGCAGCTGGATGCATGGAGAAGTCTGTCAGCCATGGAAGACAAAATTTCTGCACTTTTTAAGGAAAACCATGAGGCTCAAGTCATAATCTTATATGTAAAGTCAGGAGGAAGATGAATGGGATATGGTCAAAAGACATTTCTTCAAAATTTGCTAGAGATTGCCATTCAGCTGAGTCCTGGTGGTTATTCCCAGGTTGTGGCAAGTGTGGAGGAGGGTTTCCCCTCACTGAATTCCTCTCTGTTTCTGCCCCTTGTTCCATGAAATCTCCAATGAAACCAGGGACTGCTGTACCACAGTGTACCAGCATTGTAACCTCCCGAGGGATCCAAGACCTCTGTTAGGGAATATTGCCTGGCTGATTGTGCTGGCAATGCCTGCAGGTCTGGGCACCTCAGTTTACTCCCCAAAGCCTGACCTGCACCAGGAGGGTGCAGACTGAGCTGCCTCTTCCCTCTCTCAGGAAGGCTGTGACATGCTTTGGGGGCAGCCTGCCATGGTGAGGTGTGGGATAGGGAGCTCTTCCTGTATGAGTTTTACAGCTGCCTCTGGAGCATAGACTTGCATTAATTTTTATATCACAGTTACTGGAAATTTCCTCTTGGAGAGGGAGGGGGAAACCTCATGACAAGCAGGCAGTAAAAGGAGGCATTTGTCTCAGCCTCTGGGCAAGGTCTTTGCTAGTTTTCAGATGTAAATAGGAAGTTCTAAAGGAAAAACATTGATTTTTCTTCCTGGTTATCTATGGACTGGTCACAGGCCCTAAGCAGGAAGTGCTTCAAAGCCCTCTTTTGCTATTGTGTGAATAGAGGCCATTACTGCTCCTCTTTGACACCATCACAAAAAACTCTACCTCAGATGTGCCATTGCTTTTCTGAGCAACCATTCCCCCTCAAGTCTGCTACCCTAACAAGAAGAGGGAAAATTTGTGCATACCTGTCAATGTGTGTAGCAGCAGACATGCCATACCCTGGTATCCTGAGAAGTGCAGGCCCATCTGGGTGCTGCCACATTCTGCAGTGCTGTGCCATCACCCCAGGGACACAGGTGCCCCATCCCAGAGCCCTCAGTGCAGATAGGCTCCTGTGAGGTGGAAAGGAGCAGGTTTGTAATTGTCATTAGCTTTGTTCCTATGCAGTGCTGAGCGTGAGGTGAGTGTCAGAGGAGAAGGAAGAAACACCACCTCCAGGGAGTCCTCTGTGTGTTTTCAGGCCACCAGGAGACCGTGGCACTGTTACACTTCTTCCCTCTTGTCACTGAAGTGCAGTGAGAGCATCCCATGGCCTGCCTGCCCTTCCTGACTGCCTGGCTGCTCAAAAGGCCAGTGCTGGTGTCCCTAACATTTCATAGCTGTCCATTGTGGCTTCAGTGAGACCTTCCCTGGGATGTTGGAAGGCTGGGGAACCTGGGGGAGCTGCAGCCTGTCTGGGTGGGCTTGGGTTGGGCTGTGGGGCTGGTGAGCACCTGCCTTCTGAAGGCTGTCAGCCCTTCCAGGCACTCTGGGCCAGTCACTCTCCCCTCCTGCTGAATTGCACATTTTTTCAAGGATGGGAAGGAATATCAGACCTGGCTGACAGACCCTATTGTAATGGCAGGGTCAAGGTCAGCCTCTGCCAATGGGGATTTCAAGAAACAACCCTTCCAGAGGAAAGAAATAAAACCCTCTCTGACATTTCCATCACTGTTGGGCTAAAAATAATCCTTCAGCATGTGGACAGCTCTGGCCATGCACATGTCGATGTCGATGTGTATCTGTGCTGTTTGACATCTGCAGCCAGACAAGGGTGTGTTCTGCTTGGAATCAGCAGCTGGGAGCCCCCAGGCTTGCCATTGCTGTGTGCAGATCAATGAGGTTTTGTAGCAGCAAGTTTTTGCACCATGTGTGGAACATCCACTCATGGAGAGACCAAATAAAGACTTGAGTTTGTCCATGATGTTTAATGAAGTTTTCCAGAGCCAGAGGGCCCAGATGTGTTGCCTGGGGGTGATGGGGGGAGGCAGGCTGGTGTGGAGGAAGATGGTGTGGGAGGGATGTCCTTGGGTACCCACAAGTCTCCTGCAGAGAGCAGATGGTGTGTGGGGAGGCTCCCTGGGGGGGAGGCAGTGGCAAGGGAATGCTGGGTCACTCCCTAGGACTGTCTGAGGTGAACAGGGAGGGGAAGAGAGGCTGCAGGGAAGGAGGATGAGGGATTTGCCTTGTTTGATGGAATGGATGAGGGATTTTAACCCACTCGATTGTGTGACCTGAACTTCCCAAGTGATCCAGCCTCCTCCTTTCTAGCTTTCACCCTAACCTGGGGTTAAAGCGCTTGTGTGGGATTTGTGCCACTCTCTGAAGAGGGTTGGGAAGCAGGGTCACACTCAGGATCCTCCTGTAGGATTATCTTGTGGCCTTGGGATGCGGGCAGGGACAGCCCTGCCATTGCCACCAGCCTGCCAGCGCCACCATGGAGCTGTGCTATGCATCTCCCATTTGGCCTTCCTTCCAGTGACTCCACCTCCGTGAGCAGGACAGGATCACTCAGAGGCTCCCTGCACAAAGTCCCTCTCCCACTCCCTTTTCACTTAGGCTTCCACTGGGATCCCCTTGGCACATGGGTTGTGCCACTGCCATGCTCACCCATCACCCAGACACACCAAGCTTGGGATGTGGGCAGGAAGGAGTGACAAGCTGCCCTGGCTCTTTTGGAAGCTGTGCTCCATCACCTCTCCAGCTCTGCTTTGGGCTGTGTGATGAGCAATGATTTGTCACCTGAGTGCCCCACACTGCTGGGGGCCAGGGTTTGGCTGGCTGCTTTGAAGTGCTGCTAAAGGGCCTCGGCAGCATTCCCCTCATTTGAGCTGCCATTTCTGAGGGTCACTTTCAGGGCTTGATGCTGAGGGCAGTGGAAAGCAGATGATCCTTAATTATGCTGCAAGGTCTGAGGAAAGACCTGACATCTCCTGAGGTGCTGCCTGTGCTTCCCTGGCTTATTTAGTGGCTTTGCCAAGGATGTGACAGGCTTGATAGTGAAAACCACAGGTAATACTCTGGGACATGCTGAGCTCTGTTGGATATCAAATGTGCATGAGGAGAATCAATCCCTAAAACTGTGAAACCTCAGAGAAGGCAAACCTTCTGACTGCAAAATCATATAGTAAATTGTGTTTTATTCCCGTCCCTCCCAAGAGGAGCCTGTCAGTGATGGGAAACTCATACGTTAATCCCAATATTAATCAGAATAACTTGCACCCACCTTTGAGGCTTTCCTCTCCAGTGCTCCAGTGGATGTGGTGCCTGGTCCACAGGTGGGGAAAGGGGTGTGCCAGGCAACATGGCAAAAGCCACCACAGGCTATTCCCCCCAGCACATCACTAAAGGTTGGATTTTAAGGCAGAAATGCCTGCCTTTACTGCAGCACCCCACGGACCATGAAGACAAGACGAGGAGGAGGCACTGGTGTGTGCTGAGGTCTCTGTAGCAAGGAAGGGCTGGGCTGGATTCGCCAGTTTCCCCCAGTGGCCCTGGGAACACCCGGGCTGGGAAGGGTACGCTCCTGGTGCCATCTAGTGGCACTGGGACATGGAAAGGGCCGTGGATCTTTTATGTTTATTATTTGCGTTATTATTATGGGGCATTACAGGGAAATATTCCTACATGATTTATCAATTGTGTGGGCTGTGAGTGGCCCCTTACCAGAGTGAGACTTGTAGGACAACAAAAGCTTGGGAATTCAACTCTGCTGTAAAGTAGGATGCACAGAGCACTCAGATGTGTCTGCCTGCCAAATAACCAGCAGGTTTATGGGAAGATTTTGAAAGACAGTGATGAGCAGGATAGGTGGGATGTGTCCTGTGCTTTACAGAAAGCTGGAGCTTGTGAGTGTGGAGAGGAGAGGTTGAGAGGCAGTGTTGCAGAGCCAGGAACCAAGAACCTGATTTTTTTTCCCACTCCACAGCAGCTGGGCTTCCTGCTGCAGGAAAGAGCTTTAGGATAAGGTTTTAGTTGGCTTAATCTGACCTAAGGCCATATGGGCACCTGAAGATGGGTTTCTGCCCTCACCCCTGGGTGCCTCCCCACCACCTCATCATATGGCTCCACTGACAGCAAATCAGCAGCCAAAATAAATAATCCTGTATGAGTTTGCCTTCCCTATTTCCTTTTCAGGAGCCCTGGTTCCATCTTTCTGAGCTCCAGCTGCCAGCTTCATACCTTCTAGCTCTCCTGTTTCCTATTGCTATCCTGGTTTTCAGCCTGGACCCAGCTGCCATCCCCGAGCTGCCCCTTGCTCTAGGGGCTGTGGTTGCCTGTGCTGTCCAGCTTGGCTCACACAGCCTGTGTGGGCCCATTGCCTATTGCCTCAATGGGCTGTTCTAAAAGGGGTGCCAGTCTGCCAGCAGTTTAAAAAAATGGACTGAGTTTAAAGCAGCTGTTGGGAAAACCCCTGTGTTTCAGGGCTGGGACAAAGTACTTGCAAGAGCAGACTGTCTGGAGCTGTTTGTAATATCATATACCCTTGCAGGGTTTTGGAAAAATTATAAAGCTGATCTTGGTTCACAGATGAGTATTAGATTTTTCTCTTCAGTGGATTCTACCCTCTGAACTTCTCCACACTGGTCTTTTGTGCCTAACAAAATGGGCTCGTGCTATGACGAATGATGTCATTTTATTCCCTTCCAGGCTGCCCAGCGCTGAGAAAGATCCAAATTTTCATTCCCAGACACTTGCTGCAGCTCCTGCTGATGGTGCCACATGATCCATTGTGCCCATGTCTGCTGGGGTCTCATCCAGCATGGTCCAAACTTTGGAGGGAGATGAGGGTCCGAGAAGGTGGAGGATAAGCCCAAACTGAGGTGTTGCAGCTCGGGCAGAACCTGGGGTAGATGTTAAACATGAGTTTTTCACTGAGAGCTCTGTGGGAGAGGGGGAAGAACCCTTCAGAGCGCAGGCTGAAGAACGACCCCTTAGCCGGCCGGCGCTCAGGGCAGCCCCCAGCCCCTGCCCTGCTGTGCCACCTCGTCCCCTCGGCAGCGAGGGGCTCTGACCGCCGCGGCCCGAGCCAAGCCGCGGACCCCCGGGGTGCCTTCTCCTGGCTGCCGAGCGCCGTGTGGAGCCTGGATCCGCCGCTAGATGGGAGTAAAACCTGCGGGAACGGCCGAGCCCACGCGTGGGACCGCGGAGCGGGACATGGCGCTCAGGGCTGGCACGGGAGCGTCTCTCCTTCTGATACGGCCCAGCGCCAGTGCCCACTGTCGCCTATTGACAACTGGTATCTGATGTTCCTGAGTCCTGTCCCACCGACTTTCAGCTAAAAAACTCAGGACAGTGGAGCTGGACTCACTTGTGGAGAGAAATTTTCCTCCTCTTCGGACCATCGTGAGTCCTGTCCTAGCACCTAGCTGGGCCCTGGGGTGGCTCCCTGGTCCCTCAGCCTGGGGGGGCTTCCTTCTCCTGTTGTGTTTACACTTAGTTTCCCACAAATTCCCACCAATTTACTTGTCTTTCCTCCCTGAGATGTCAGGCCTGGCAAAAGTGCTTTGCCTCCGTCCTTGCCATGGGGAAAGCCCTGAGGCAGGGTCCCCTGCCTCGATGGGCTTTGGTCACACCGGGCGGCTGCAGCTGCCCTGGCTGTCCCTGGCTCAGGCCTGTGCCCAGAGCACAGCAGGTGTCCCGGGGAGTCCTGGGGCTGGAGTTTGTGCTGCAAGGAGAGAATGCCATGAGGAACAGGGTGCACTGTGTCACAGCTCAAACCTGTGGTGGTTTCTTTATAGAGATTGTCCCGGGCTAGTGGGGATGAGCCTTTTGCTGTTTCATGTCTTGCATGGTCATTGGTAACTGCCCTGTCAGCAGCACTTTCGTGGCTCCTTCTTAAACCAAACAAGCCCAGGCTGGCAGAGCTCAGGCCACAAGATCATAATCAAAAATAGTCGTGCCTGAAATGTTTTTCCCAAGAGTGCCTGATAGCCACATGGACAGGGATTACTGTGGGCATGGTGGGAAATGTCTCTGCATACCCAACACTTGTTGCAGGGAGGGAGGAGAAGTGGCAGTGACTGCCAAGTGCCCATGTCCTGTGAGGCAGACTGAGGCTAAAGAAGCAGAGCTCTGGCATCATCTTCCCTACAGCTTTCCTAAAAAACAGGGCCCTGGAGGAATGTGGAGTTGCCAGCAAACCTTGGGCATTCCCAACATGTAAGGAAGAGTTGAATGAGTGGTTGCTGAGACTGATCAGGGAAGAAGTGCAATCACAGGACAGGGCCTGGTATCAAAGCCATTGTGGAGCTGAATTTCCTTGAAGACTGCTTTGCCATCCCTGCTTTGCCTTCCCTTCTTTGCCTGCCCTGCTTTACCTGCCCTGCTTTGCTTTGCCTTCCCTTCCTACTACTGAATTTCCTTCTAGAAGCAATGATTTTAGTTCTTTGAGAGCCAACATCTTGTCTAGGCCTACTTTCTTTTCTAAATTAAGCCGTGTTGGTTTCTTCAGTGCTTTCTCAGACATCATGTTTTGTTCTGTCAGTCATTCTCCCTTTTGCCTTTTGCACTCTGGAATGCCAAGAATGGACATTGCACAGTTGCCAAGCTGTGGCAGTAACAGCTGGAGTAGGGGAGTTTCTTTCTGTGTTGTCCTGATGTCCCTCCTTTTTGCATTTCTCAGTTGGAGGCTTCCTTTTTCACAGCAGTGTGCTGACACAGCCCGTTCATGACCTGTCATTACTCTGGAGTGTTTGAATTTTTGCAGAGTTATTACTGAATAGGCAATTTCCTCCATGTGTTTGTACAGTTGTTTACTTCGCTTGCATTGCCATATGCTGTTCTTGTGTTTGAACTGCATCCTATTGGTTTGTTAATTTTCCTGGATAATTCTGAGATCAGATTCTGTCTCTTGCTGGTCACCATGCTTGC